AATAAAACATCTGCTCAGACTTAAAGAATGTACACTGGGCTATATCTCTTTAAAACAGAATCTCACCAAGCCTTTCCTTTTCCAATTAGCATCAAAACATAATGGTTAGGAAAACTAACTTACCATGACCGAATTCGTGGGCTCTGAGAGACTGCACCAGTGTGACAAGCCTTTGACATTTCTTTCACATTCTGGCTCAGATCTAGAAGACATTTCCAGCCTTGCTATTTTCTCCTCAGCTAAGTCAGTTAGTTACACACCATCGATGTCATAGATCAGCAAGATGGCCTGTTACCGAATGACTAAGCTTCTGGCAGATGTCATGTGCTAGAGAGCAGACAGGTCAACAAAGTCTGGCCTGGAGTGGGAGTGCTCCACGGAGGACACATATGCTGCTACTCCGTCCACAGGATGCAAATTGCTTCTGATTTCTTCTCACCAATCAGAATGAACTAGAAAGGATTGAAGATCAATAGCTATGGTGAGCTGTGTAAGCGGCACATCTGGACCTGCAGCTGCAATCAGCATCATCATTGAGGAAGTTGGGGATGATTAGCTGTCACTGTCCATGGCCCTGATTTGACTAGCCAAATGGTGAAGTTGAAATAAGGACATCGTAGGAATCACCGTCATTCTCTCTCAGATATTTGTTGATGACACCAGTCTCCGCAGTTCCACAAATAACGAAGTTGTGGTTTAGGTTTATTGTCTCTGTTGGCAGAATCATTTGAGTGACTGATGTTGGGTCATTGTTGCTCTTTCGGCTTCATCCCATGGATCAGGAATTCTACTAGCTTTGAAGTGTGTCTCCCGGGACACAGAAAATAATTACATATCCCACTTTAGCTGGATGCTCAAAGCGAGAGATAACATGAGAGTTACAAATTGTCTTTGTTATGGGGATTCACAAAGAAATGGGGATTCAAAGGGAAACACAGACACAAAATACAGGACAAGGTGGAAGCCACCATGTGCTCCTCTACCCCGAAGAGATGTGAATATCAACACAAGCTTGCTTCTGCTCTGACCTCCCAAGAGAGTGAGAGAGACACCTTATCTCCCTTATAAGAGATCACTATCCGCCCCCAAAAGCCACGCCCTAAGGCTGGTATCCAAAACACTATTGGCAGAAATACAACAGATGCTTACAGTACAGATGATTCTGTCAGCACAGCTCCCCCATAGGACAATGAGCATTCCCGTATTAGCATGACTATAGGTGTGCTTGCACACTAAGTAGTATCTACAAGATGCTGCAGGATGTGGTGGAATTCCAAAGAATACTGCGAGACCTTGTGTCAGTAAAACTTACCTTCCCTCAGCTCTGAAAAGATGATGAGGAAGGACCAGCTCTTAAAACCTGAAAAGAGAGGCTGTGAATATCACTCACTTGATGACAATGCTTGCACTACAGGCTTGAAGAGTTGAGTTTAGATCTACAAAGTCATGTAAATGCTTGGCAGAAGCACTTATCTATAACCTCAGTGCTGGGGAACACTTGGAGTGTGCTAGCCATTCAATCTAGTCAAGAAGTGCACTCCAGGTTCAGTTGAAGACCTTGTCTTGGAGAGGAAAAAAAAAGTTGCTTCAGAGCAACTGAAGGAGACATCCAGTGTTGACCTCTGGTTCCTACACATATCTGCATACATGTGTGCACACTTACATGTGAGAAATGACTAACTTGAACTCCTGTAATTTAAAAAGAGTCTTTGTAAGGTAACCTTGAGGTGGGCCAGACACCTACTACGCTCTTCCTGCCTCTCATACCCTGTTGATGGTCCCCAATGGCCAGGATTAAGCAGAAGCTATGGAGCAAGGTGGACCACTGATGTTAATCAAATGGTGAGCATCCACAAGCAGAAGACAGGGAAATGGAGGATAATGGCAAGATCTGGAGAGGAAGAGATGAGGACTGACTCACTTAAACAGACTTTTTTTTTTTGCTCCTGTTTCTGCTCTGTTGGCAGCTACAACTACTGCTGGCAGCTTCTGTGAAATCCTTGCACCTCAAAATTTCCTGCAAGAGGCCTTTCTGATCTTTGCTTTTGCAATTTTTTCAATGAATGCATAAGCCTAAAATTCTTTATATCAATGTTTTCCACTAAATATACCTAAGGTGGTTTCCCCTTTCCCTGCCAAACCGAACTGATCCAAGAACTTTACCTCTACTAGAGATGGTTCCTTAGCCAAAACGTAGTCTAAGACAAACAAACCCAACGTATCTCTTTTCAGTTGCTCTGATTAGAAAGATGTGAGCTGTGCACAAAAGAGAATGTTTTCTTTTGTTTCCATGGAGATGAAGATGCTGAATGAATGCTTATGAGAACTTACAATAACATATAACCAGGTTTAAGATAGCACAATCAGGCCAATACAAACGCACATATGTAATGGAAACACTGGCAGAACAAAGAGAGGATTTTTTTAAGGTAGGAATCCTACAAAGGAATGGTCCCCTTTAACTCTTTTCTTTGAGATAAAATCTAATAAACAGATAAAAGTTATACAAAAGCTTGCAGATAAAAATAGTCTAATTATTTCAAAACAAATTGAAAGTAAGGACTGAAAATAAATTAAGAGTCACTTTGAAATGTAATAAGAACCAGATTGTAGGGTTTCATAGTCAATATAGACATGAATCCTATATTAATTTTGAGAAAAATGTCATTTAATTTTAAATTTCAATTTTTATTATCTTTCAAATTATGTGAATACGTGTTGGCACATGCATATGAGTAGAAGTACCCTAGGAAATCAGGCACGTCAGTTCCTCTGGAGCTAGAAGCACAAGGGTTGTAAGCCACCCAATGTGGGTGCTGGGAAGAGAACATGGGTCCTCTGGAAGAGCAGTGTATGCTATTAAACAATGAACCACCTCCCCAGCCCCAACAATGCATAATCTCATCTCTAAGGCTTCTTTGTTGTTCTTCCTAAATTTGATAATCCTATTTTGTATTACATGCTTCTTTTCTCTTTTCCTTTGGTGCTTACACATGAATTCCTCACACAAGATTCTTGGCTTTGGGATTTTACATGTACTTGCTCACTGTTTGCAACCTTATCAGTAATACTAGGAGTACATATTTGGGCAGTTATGTGCCTGATATCATGTAAGCTCTGCATGTGCTAACCCTCATTACAGGTTTCGAAGTCAGTTTATTAGATTTATATCCTTTCTGATTTATAAATAAGGCAATGGCAGTTTCCTGCTGAAATCTACCAGTGAGAAGAGTGACATACCTCTGTTGTGTCTAAAACGCACTCTTGACTCTAGATCGTTTTCATACACATTTTCAAGCAAATTTGAAAGCAGTTTTGAGATGTTCGTTCTCTGGTTTTCTGTGGTGGTGTTGGGCTTTTGTGCTTCTCCCTTCTCTCTGAATTCCACATTCTATTCTTTCCTTTTAACACTGTATTGCTGAGATGGAATCTAAGACCTTATGCATGTTAGACAGATAGACACTCTGCCACCAAGCCCTGGGTATCCATATAATGAGATAGATATCTCATTATATGCTGCCATGAGGAAAAGGACTGTATTCTTCTGACTTTTTCAGGAAGAATAATTCCCCATCTGATATAGATAGACACTCGAATGCGTTGTCCTACATAGCAGGGGGAACCCAGAGACAGAGTTTTCAAGTCTTCTCTTGCCCACGAAATCTTCAACAACTTTTCACATATGATATGCAACAGAGGAGAGTACATGGCCTTGTGAGCAGAGAGGAGGCCTGGCAACTATCAGTAATTTAGGATCAGAGTTGTCTAAGCCCTGTGGCTTCCGTTCCCAACTGTTGCTGTAAGGAAGGTAGCAAGTCCACATACATTTTCCCCCTTTCCTCTATTCACTATAAACAGCAGTAATGACCTGATATACAAACCAAAGAAACTCTTCTGTGAACATACATTCTATTTTAACGACTGGAGGTATTTCCCATAAAGTGTTCCTTTAGTCCGGGGATCTTTCGGAGCTTAGGAAAGACAACTAAGTAGGCATTGCTGTGCTCCTACTTATCTGATAAGCTCCTGCAAGCACTACTGCAATGCTCAAGAAGGGCTCTTAATCCCACCGAAAGCCAAAGGAAAATCAGCCACATCTTGCCACTCTCAGCGGAGGTAAAAGTAAATGTGCTCTGAAGTGTGCCTGAACCTGTCTGCGTGATTATCTGGAGCATGCTAAAGACACAGAGGTGACTTTCCTGGAGTCCCCTGCTCCAGCCACAGGACAGTTACAAGCTACCACTGTCTCTTGAATCTGTGTCATCTTTAATTAGACTCATAAAGAAGATTTTGGTTACAATCTCTGATATATCTGGTGTTGGAGAATTTTGGAAATTCAAGTTCATATTTAAATCACTCCAGATCAACATAACACCCTAAGATTTTTTAAAAAATGTAATGTGTATGTATATACAGGCGGTGCCCTCACAAAAGGCTTTCAGATCCTCAGGAACTAGAGTTCCAAAGTTGTTAGCCAGTCTGTGGGTGCTAGGAACTGAACCTGAGTCCTCTCCACGGGTGCTCTTAACCACAGAACCATCTATATCTCCAGTCCTCTCAACATAACAACTCCTGGGTCTTGGTTTAATTCATTCAGTCTTGGGAAAGAAACAAAATCTGTATTTAGTTGGGGACACCAGCTTGCAGGAGGCAGTCTGGTGTTTCCCCCGCTGTTTCACATGCTGGTGAAGGTGGTGGGACTGAAATGTCTTAGTCTGGGGACTTCAGATGAAACCTGCGGAGGGTGTACCTTTTAGGCACACTGCTCTTTCTGATCCCATTTAAAGTTCATTTTTCTACTGAAAAGTTTTAAGGCCACAATGGCTTTCATTTCATGTGTGTTTAACAGCTAGAGTACAAATTCCAAATAAACTATCTTGAACAGTATATCCTTCTGGCCAGAGAGCTGTCACTTATGTGCTCACACTGCCTTCAAAAGTCATTTGGAATGAAACTTTCCCAGGACCAAGCGAATGGCATTACAAATGAGTTGAACAGCATTATGGCCTATTGGTCATTTTCTTGGTAATGTCTCTGGCCATTTCCAATACTTACACACAAAATGAGTTTTCAAAATGGGAAATGGCATTGAACATCAAGGTAATGAGCTCAAAAATTGAAAGCCAGATTTATATAACGAAAAAAGATCATTTTCAATTGGTTTAAAGCTCCACATTTAATGAAAGAATGTTCATGAGGAAATAACGACAGTCTCAAGGGCTGATAATCAATTATGCAAATATTTGTTCCCAAAAGTGATTAAAATCTAACGCAACTACTTAATTCTGATGTGTAACTGACAAATTTAAGCTAATTGGAAATACAAAATATTTCAAATTAAAAATAGAGCCCAGATGGGCTAGCAAAGAGGAAAAACTTTAAAAATGTACTGCAAAGTAATAAAGTCAGGTTTGAAGGATATAAAAAAAAAGCTCATCATCCACTTAAAAAAATTTTGAGAAAATATAAACTTAGAGCTATGGAGAGACTGTCTTGTCTTAATTATAAGTAGTATAGAAAAATAGAATAGTGAATTGACATGCTTTTTATTTGATTATGTGTTCCATACTTTCCCTTGAATATAGACTTGACGTCTAAGAATTCATAACACAAATTTATGCACTAGTGTTTCAAATGTCTTGACAAATCAGATATGAGTTATCAGTGTTATCTTTTCTCTACCTATAACATCTTACTGAGCCACCAAATGTAAATATAATAATAGATAAATATGTAGCTTCCTAGCGCATATCCTAAAGTGCTTCCTAATTAAATTTATGCACAAGAACATTATCCTGCATCCAACATTTCACA